TCTCCCCTCTTCTTCTCCTCCTTCTCCTCCTCCTCTTCTCCCTCCTTCTCCTCTTCCTCCCCCCTCCTTCTTTTTTTAATCTCCCTGAAATTGATTTGCTTGGGTGGTCCAAGTGAGCCCCAGCAGGGTCCTAACTGATTCTTGATTTGTTTCTAGCTATCGGGTGTTCTGTCTTCTGGGTGACGGGGAGTCCACAGAAGGCTCTGTCTGGGAGGCATTAGCCTTTGCATCCTATTACAATCTGGACAATCTCGTGGCAATATTTGATGTGAACCGCTTTGGACACACTGGCTCCATGTCCGTTGAGCACTGCATTGCTGTCTACCAGAAGCGTTGTGAAGCCTTTGGGTAATTGTTTCTTTGTTGTTGTGCCTTCTTTCTGTGCCATCATCCTTCTTCATTGTAATCTAACCTCCTCCATGACAGGTGGAATACTTACGTGGTAGATGGCCGTAACGTTGAGACCCTATGCCATGTGTTCTCACAGGCAGCTCAAGTGAGAGGCAAGCCCACTGCTGTGATTGCCAAGACCTTCAGGGCCCGAGGCATGCCAAGTACGTGTTTACTTCCTATGAGTATTCAAAACATTTGTCCGTGGAGCAGAACAGACTGAAGGAAGCGCTGACTAGGCTGATGGTTTCCTTAGTGAACAGTGTTAATGCTGGTGACATGTGAGGCTGTTTCTCTCTCTTGACCTTACTAGCTAAAAAGTCTGGTTAGGATAGGAGGGGAAGGCCAAACTTCTACCAAGTAAACAAAGGTTTTTGCCCTTGTAGAGACTGGCTAGTAGAACAGTTCACCAGTGGGAATAGTTTGCTAACAGGGAAGGATCTGTTATGGTTAGTAGTCAGAAAATATGCTACATGTAGGGGGCAAGCCCATGAGTAAGGTGGTATATCCACATACATTTATCTAGACCCAGGTCATCTGGAAGAACACATAGAAAACAGAAGCTTGGGAACTGGGGCTAGTGATAGAGACTTAGTTTTTTAATAAAATTTTATTCTAATTAATTCACAAATAAAAACATCAGCTAGTTAAGGAAGCCACTCAAACACTTTCCTAGTCCCAAACTCTCTATATCTCACTGAACTTCTATACAATTAGAATGGCCATTCTGAAGTAGTGGAGCTTCACTAAGGGTTTTTTACTTTCATTATTACATTTTTTATTCAGTTAATCCACCACATAAAGAGTTAAAACTAGGAGGGAAATGAGACATAATACAAGATGTAACTCTTTGTACATTTCAGGATTATCATTTGGAATTGTCTATCTCAAATTTAGTTTCTCAAGTTTAAGTAGTTGAAGAAGATATGATTCATTTTTTTAAATAATATAGACAATTTAGAATAACACTGATCTGTGACTCCTCCCAAAAAAATACAGCTTTATTCTAGTTCTACCAGTTTGGCAAATGACAACTTTACCAATGAGCTGCTGCCAGAACCTGAAATTTTTCCTTGCTTTCACCTCTCCCTTACCCTCCTTACATACCCAGTCACTAGAGTGTATCTCATATGCATTCCCTCCTCTTTCTCTCTACTACCTTACTGTCACTAAGTCCCTATTACCTTTGTAGAACTACAGCAGCTTCATGAAGAGTCTATCTGCTTCCTGATCACTCTTTTGCAAGCACAATACTGCAACAGTAATCTTTCTATAGCACATCTGATCATTCAGTCCCCTTCCAAACCTTTCATGGTTTCCAATCTTACTTCAGGTAAAAACTCATATACATAATTGTCACTCTGCTTGGTCTGTCTTTTCAGCCTTGTTTCCTTCATAAAACCCTCCTTTCACCAGCATGTGTATCAGTGCCTCCCTTAAAAGCCTCAGGACCTTTCTTAGGCTGCTCTTACTGCAGTTCTATCCCAAGACTCCTATGTCCAGTCCTTATCCCTGTGATTCCTATTCAGATATCTTTTCTCTCAAAGTAACTTTCAGATGATCTGGACGGTACTCATTAAGCACCTGGAGTGAATATCCTTTGTTTTGTTGTAGATATTGAGGATGCAGAAAGTTGGTATGGAAGGCCAATGCCAAAAGAAAGAGCAGATGCAATTATCAAATTAATTGAGAGCCAGATACAGACCAACAGGATTCTTGTACCACCAGCTCCTATTGAGGACTCACCTCAAATCAGCATCATGGATATAAATATGACCTCACCCCCTGTTTACGTAGCTGATGACATGGTAGGCAAAAATGTATAAGATTAACTAAAGTCATGTACATCATCATTATGGTTTTAAAAAATATTTCTTAATACACAGGAGTCTTCATTTATCCTGATCTCTGTGGATGAACCAGTTGGTAGACAATAATGGAATTTTATTGATGATTCTAAGCAGTAAAGATCATTTTTACCTCCTCTATTATTAACTCTGAAATTTCCTCTTGTTTTGGGTGGGTGGGTTGGTTGGTTTGAGGAAGTTTTATTTATTTGCTTTTTAAAATAGGATCTCACTACAGCCCAGGCTAGACTTGAACTCATTATCCTTCTTGAGTTCTGGAGTTACAGATATAAACCACCATATATGTGATACTGAAGGATACTGTTGGTAAATCAAAAATTTATCAAAGGTAACAATGTATAAACCTATAAAGTAGTAACTCCTTTTCAAGTGTACTCCCAAGAAACTGTTACCACTTAACTTTTTGTTCTAGGTATCTACTCAAAAAGCATGTGGTTTGGCTCTAGCTAAATTGGGCCATGAAAATGACAGAGTTATTGTGCTGGATGGTGACACCAAGAACTCCAACTTTTCTGACATATTCAAGAAAGAACACCCAGAGAGATTCATCCAGTGTTATAGTGCTAAACAAAACATGGTGAGTGTATCATGCAGGTCTCTCAAGTCTTCTCTAACTATTAGTAGATTATGAAAGGCCTTCTACAGAAGCATTCCAGAGAAACAAGAGGTAAGTAGTCACCTAAAGTCAGAGAAGTGGTTTCTCTGTCTGCTAGACAGGGTGTAACTTCCCAACACCCGCTGGGCATCCCACCCCATACAGATTGAAAGTAGGCTGAGAGCTCTAGGTCTGAAATGTCCTAAGCTCCCTAGTAGCCCTTTCTGTCCCATCTAGCCTGTAACTAGGCAACTTTACAGCCACCCAGGGACAAACAGATTGAGGAACTACCAGATATCGGTGAGTTTGAGGTCAGTCTCATCTATATAGAGAGCTCCTTGCCAGCCAGAGCTACATAGTGAAACCCTGTCACAAACAATTTCTTTTAATTAAAAAAATATCAATAGTTAAAAATTGTCAAAGAATTAAAAAGAAAGAATACTAATAGTTAAAGCTAGTACCTGGGCCGGGCGGTGGTGGCGCACACCTTTAATCCCAGCACTCGGGAGGCAGAGCCAGGCAGATCTCTGTGAGTTCGAAGCCAGCCTGGTCTACAGAGCAAGTTCCAGGACAGGCTCCAAAGCTACACAGAGAAACTCTGTCTTGAAAAAAAAAAGCTAGTACCCAAGGCAAATCTGTACCTCTGTTGCTGCCCAAAGTGATAATATGCAGAGAGTACCTGTACCATTCTCAAGAGAAAAGAGTTCATATCAGGAAACACTTAGAACTCTAAAACCAAGACCTGCCCACAAGAGGATGACAACTCTCTCCTGCCTTTACATTGCAGAGGCTAAAATAACCCTGAAGAGTACTTTTCTGGACAGGGAACTGGACTAGCAGAGCTCATGTGAATGTATTTTTAAACAAGTAGTCTGATATTTTAAAAAGATGAATTGCCAGCATTTAAAAATCAGATTTTTATGTAGAATCCAAATTTCTACATTCTCTTGAAAAGTAGAAATAACTGCCAGTGGGTTGGCATTCCCTCACAATGCCTACTGGCTGGAGTCAAGCATCATCCCTGTTTAGATGGGCATTCCCAGCCAGCTCTCCAGGGGTACTGTACTCTGCTGGCCCCATTGTTTTTTTATAGCACTTCTCTAACCCACCAGTACCGGAATTTAAGCATACCTGTTACATAATAGGTCATCACAGTGTTCATTCTTGGGTCTTTTCATTTTGCTTTTATTGTGGTGTTATGAATTGAACCCAGGGCCTTGCATAAGCAAGGCAAGTGCTCTACCACTAAGCTACATCCACAGCAGCTCTTTTTATTTAGAAAAAAAGAAGTGCAATTCTTATTTTTTGTAAATTGACCTTCCTATCAAAAAGCTTGCTGGTATGATTGCTTCATTGATTACTTCAGTCAACAGCCATGTATTATGGGCCTCACTTTGGTAGGCCTCTAATGAGGAACTTACTATTCAGCTGAAAATGAACCATAAATTTCTGATCTTCATGCCTCTGCCTCCCAGCCACATTGCCTGGCTCAGCATGATTATTTCAATCTGTTTATTATTTGATCTGAAGGTTTTATATTCCAGAATGCCACCCAATATAAAATTAATGTAGGAGTAAGCATGCCTTTTAACAGTTTGTTAGCTGGAAGATAGTTAGTTGTTAAAAAAAAGACAGTGGGAAAAGAGGCCATGGGCCTTTTCTCTGGCAGATGAATGTAAAGCCAAATCAATTAACATTTAAGTATCTTGATTTTGGAACCAACCACAACCACCACCACCCCTTTGGAAAGCTCTTGTTTGCTCCCAGAGGTCATGTCCTAGTTCAAACCTGCCTAGAGTATATGAGTCTGGAGTGCCAAGGGAGATGTAAAGAATAACAATATAAAGTGGAGGTCATTAATAATGTGTATATCAGGGGCTGGAGAGATGGTTCAGGCAAAAGATCCAAGTTTGCTTTCCAACACAATGCTGGGCAACAGCCTATAACTTCAGCTCCAGGAAATCCTATGGTCTCTTCTGGCCTCCATGGGCACCCAAACACACTGACACACATAGGGGGCAAGAGGAGGGAAGAGAGAGATTTTTAAAATTGTGCACATCAGAGCAACTTTAGACCAGTCTCTTAGAATCAATGGCCCAAAGAGGAAGAATGAACACAGAGCTTTGAGAATTCACCCTATATGCCCATCCATCAACTAGAGGTTTGCACACTCTAGCCACCTTCACGAGGCAGCAGGACTGGTCCTATTACCACACCACAGAAATCTGAAGCATGATGGATGGTCCTTGTAACAAATAGAGGTAATTTGTTCTGAATACTAGTGAGAGGTCAGTTGTGATGCCACTCAAGGTAAAGAGACCACTTGGAAAATTTTTAACTTTAGGGTTCTTCATGGGAATGGAGGCCTAGATGAAGCAGGCTAAGGAGAAAGTAGAAAATGAGAAAGTGGAGATAATGACTAAATGACTTTTTCGACAAATTTTCTGTGAAGTAGAACCAATTAGGGCAGTTTTTGGAAGGAAGGGTAAGGTGGAATGGGAAAGCAGAGATGGAAGGTATTGACACATAATTAAATGATAACAGATGATTTGAGAGAAAGTGAGAAACTGATTGAAAGGGAAGGAGTGGTAGAATTGGAGATACCATCTAGTAAGAAGAAGGTTGGGATCTAGGATGAGCAGTGGGCAAACCATCCACAGGGAGGAGCAAGCTGATGGCTCAGGGTGGAGGGCAGGGAGTGGGCAGGCAGATGGATAGATGCTCCATTTCTTAACTTGGTCTCTAGGAGGTGTGAGGTTAAGTATACTACCTGAGGTGGGTAAGAGAGATCCAAGGAAGAGCATAGGAAAGAGACATGCTAGGACTGCAGAATAGTTAACCATGTGCAGAGTAGGAGTTACATCATGTAGTCTCTGTGGTTTAATGGGGGAGGGGATGAAGCCAAATCCAGGTATGTTCTGCTTCCTGTTCTTTGTGTTTTAGGTGAATGTGGCTCTGGGCTGTACCACCCGTGACCGGACCATTGCTTTTGTTTGCACCTTCGCTGCCTTTTTCACCCAAGCATTTGATCAGATACACATGGGAGCCATCTCTCAAATGAACATCAACCTTATTGGTTCCCATTGTGGGGTATCTATTGGTATGCATTCTGAATATCGTCATGTTGATAGCTTTGTTTAGGCTTTGCATTTTCTTACTGTTCACAAAAGGGATTTATTTTTGAAAATATTGTGTTTTAGATGTTTCAGGTACTCTGGATACCAATCCAGATGAGACACATTACTGTAAAGTACCCATTCAGTCATTGAGAAATACTTGTCTGCAGGCCTTTCTGAGATTTGCAGTATACCAAATCTGGAATAAGGACAACACACACATCCCAGAATTGTTTTCTGTGCTCTGTGTGGTCACGGCTAACTGTGAACAGCTGAACACACATTTAGGTAGAAGTAGATTGCTGTTCCACATTTTTGCTTTGTGCAATGGGAAACTTTGAGGAATATGATGCATGAAATTATGGTAATGAAAACTTCATTCTAGTATCAGTAACCTGCCAGGGATTGCTGGAAACAGAAAGATCTAAGATAGGATTGACGTAAGATGGGAACCAGCAAGAGGGTAGAAAACCAAAGGTGGCCCTGAGAGAGTAAAGAAAAGAATAAATGTTGCTGACTAATGGAAGGATCTGGAATTATATAAAAAGCAAAAAAGCAAGTATCCAGGAGTTTCTTAGTTGACAATGTCAGGGAATCCTGCTCATGAATTACAGAAATTGCATGGGAAAGATGAGTAAACTTGTGGAATAAGTCATCTAGATAGTTGTGGCAACTTACATCTGCTGCTAGAATGTTACGGATGTGTACTCAGGAACCATAAAGTGACTCCCTGGCAGAACTAAACTATAGAAAGCAGCTCTGGCTAGAGCTGGGTGTGAAGATAGCTAAGTGAATCCGAAACGAGGCACAGATGGTAGTCCAGGGAGCAAGTATAGCTGAGAGACAAGGCAACTGAGGCATACCAGCACTTTAGCATGGACAGGAATAGCAGCTGAGAAAGTGCCCCCAAATCTTTAACCAAAACTGGGTTCAGTGAGAATTTGAAAATCAGGACAGCTACAGAGACAAATGGATCTAATGTAGAGAGGATCTGGGCTTCTAAAGTTAGACAATTGTCCTAGGCAAGAGTGTACACAGGACATTCCTTTTCCCAGGAATAAGTAGGCTCCCTCTCCGTATGTACATTGTGATTTCTGTACACTAATCCCACATACCCAAGGGCATTCTTAGTCACAGCAGCATCTGAGGGTATCCCAAAAGTATGTTATCTGGTACTTGAAAGGCCTGCCAAAATGAATAAGATACTTCATCTAGAAAAATCTGATTTCTTGAGAGTGAGAAGTAGAATAGAGCCAGAAATACAAAGCCTTGGGATGCTCTTAAGAAGAGGAGGACACAGGATCAGAGACTGGGTAGGGCTGACTCCACCCATGACATTTAGGTAAGAAAGAGCATTGGGTTAACTTGAACAGTACTTCTACTACTGTGTGACCAGCCAACTGATTACTGATCTGAAAGATCATTTGATAGCCTAACCTAGAATATTTTAGTGAGCTTTCAAGGAAGATGGTTATGTAAAAGCTAATGTAAATTACAGCAAGTGTTGAACCATGCAGGGCTTTGCTGTAATACAGGGTGTTCTGGAGCAGTAAGAGTAGCTGCTTCTCAAGAACGATGGAAGGAGTTGAGAGTGGGTTCCTGGTAGGGTTGTGTTCATGTTTTTGTTGGTCTGTGGCTTTCTCAGGTGATGACAATCCCTATCACATGGCCCTGGAAGATCTGGCCATGTTCAGAGCAATTCCCAACTGTACTGTTTTCTATCCAAGTGATGCCATCTCCACAGAGCATGCTGTTTATTTGGCAGCCAATACTAAGGTATGTTTAAAGGATGCCAAATCAGAAAATGGTTCTGGACTCTACTACAAGTTTTGAACTGATGAGAGTTTTGTTTCTTTTCCTAGCATAAAATATAAAATGTGATGCTAGATACATTTACTAGCATGCATGAGGCCCTGGGTTTGATCCCCTGCACCATATAAACTGGTCATGGTGGTACACACCTAAAATCTTAGCATTCAGAAGATGGAACCAGGAAGGTCAAAATTTCAAGGTCACCTTCAGCTATATTAATAGTTTTAAGCCAGCCTAGGATGCATGAGACCCTAACAACAGATGACTGTGCACATGAATGCATTGGAATTGTAAAACATGCAAAACTTACCATATAGGGCAAAAGAGATGGCTCAAAGGAAGTGTGAGTACCAGAATTCAGATCTCTAGAACTCATAAAAATTTGACAGGGAGCCAGGTGTGTTGATGCACACCTTTAATCCTAGCACTTGGACTTGAAAATGTGTGTATTCAAGTTGACAATACAGTTATATTTACACCTTCTTATTGGAAATGGCTGACTCACTTCATATTCACATATTTAAAGTCTTTCTAAGAATGAATCACTACAAACTATATTGTGGCAAAATTAATTTTTAATGTGTTTTGGGCTTTCTTGTCATCATGAGTCAGTGTTCCTGCCCTGACTTTTTTTCCATGAGGACAGGAAAAGTCAGTGCATATTTTAGAAATCCCAAATCAAAAAATTGGACAACATGGAAAATTTATCACTGAGGATATCACTAGGGTCCTCTTGAGATATTCCTGTCTCAGTAGCAAAGTCAGATGTATAATCTGTTCACTGGCAGTTGAGCTTCTCCCTCACTCCAGAGTCTGCATTTTGTTGTTAGTATGAAGAACTGTTCACTCTTCTTTCCTATTGTTTAATGACTTATTACTTAGAATTTATGGTTTGGTTTAATTTTCATGTTTTTTCTAATTTTTGGGATTATAATATAACATTTCTCCCTTCTCTTTCCTCCTTCCAAACCCTCCCATATACCCCTCCTTGCTCTCTTTCTTTCAAATTCATGGCCTCTTTTTTCATTAATTGTTGTTGTTGGTGGTGGTGGTGGTGGTGGTGGTTGCTTTGTTGTTGTTGTTGTTAGTAGTGGTGGTGTGTGTGTGTATATACCATATATATTCCTAAATATAACCTGTACATTCTGTATACTGTTACTTGGACATTTATGTTTTCAGAGCTGGCCATTTGGTATTGAATAACCAATTGGTGTGTTCCTTCCTGAGGACTATTTCTCCTACTCTTTGTATTCCTTAGTTACCTGTAGTTCTTTGTGTAGGATTGAGGTATCCTGGGCTTCCCTACCCTCATCCATGTTAGCTCGTCTATAGTTGTCCTTGTTCAGTTGATGTTTTGGCAGTCATGTTGGTAAGACTTTATGAGTGTAGCTTGTGACATTTCTAGGAGACACAGTCTCATGGTACACTCCTTGTTCCTCTGGCTCTTACAGTCTTTACACCCCCTCTTCCTCAATGTTCACTGAACCTTACATTTGAGAGTGTTTTGTAGATGTATCCATTGAGACTAGGCTCCACAGCTCTGCATTTTGATTGGTTGTAGTTTTCTGTAATGATCTCTATCTGTTGCAGTTTGATTTTTTTTTTTTTTTTTTTTTTGGTTTTTCGAGACAGGGTTTCTCTGTGTAGCTTTGCGCCTTTCCTGGAACTCACTTGGTAGCCCAGGCTGGCCTCGAACTCACAGAGATCCGCCTGGCTCTGCCTCCCGAGTGCTGGGATTAAAGGCGTGCGCCACCACCGCCCGGCTCAGCAGTTTGATTTTTTAACTGTAGTTCTTATTTGCACTTATGCCACAGGAAATGTGTTTCATTCGTACCAGCCAAGCAGAAACTGCAGTTATTTACACCACTCAAGAAACCTTTCAGATTGGACAGGCCAAGGTAAGGGCATAAGTTTTCCTGTGCTGTACAGTATCCATTATATAAAGAAATCCATTCTAACTCTTGCATATGTTCTGGTTGCTTTTCCATTAATAAGTCTGTTTTGATCTTTGCCTGATTCTGTACTTCTTTCCAAATGGAATATCTTTTGTTGAGTTTTTTATTTTGTTTTGAGACAGTATCTCATTATATACCCCAGGCTGGCTTCAAACTTGGAAATGTTCTACCTTAGCGTCTCATGTGCAGGGGACTATAGATATGTGGCAGCACACCCAACTTTGTTAGTTCCTTTTATAGGAGAAGGGTTTGTTTGATTTTTATGGTGCTAGAACTTGAGACTGGGTCTTTATGCATGCTAGGCAAATACTCTATTTCTGGGTACATTGCCAGCCTTTTTTTTTGCATTTGTATTTATCAATTGTGTTTGTGTGTGGCAGGTGCACCTCTGCATGCAGGTGTAGAGGTCAGAGGACAACCCTGAGGTGTGGTTGGTTCCCTTCCTCCCACTATGTGAGTCCAATGAATTAAACTCAGGTCATTGGGCTTGGTGGCCAGCACCTTTACCAGCCAAGCTTTCTAGCCTATACTGTTGTCAGCCCTTTCTTAAAATTTTTTTTTTTTTTTTGGTTTTTTGAGACAGGGTTTCTCTGTGTAATTTTGGTGCCTGTCCTGAATCTCGCTCTGTAAACCAGGCTGGCCTCAAATCATAGAGATCCACCTACCTCTGCCTCCTGAGTGCTGGTATTATAAAGGCATGCACTACCACCACCCGGCTAAAGTCTTATTTTAAGGTAAGTTCTCAACCAAATTGCTCATGCTGTCCTTAAGCTTGAAATCTTCCTGCCTGTGGTTCCTGAGTGACTGGGAATTCAGATGTGTACCACTGCACCTGGCTTGTAGGTGAATTAACTAATAAATTTGTTAGTCAGGAGCAATTTGTCTTTGAGATGTGTCTTTCCATAATAACCACATTTTGTTTTGTTGGTGCCATACCAGGTTGTCCGACGCAGTGACAATGACAAGGTCACAGTTATTGCAGCAGGAGTCACTTTGCATGAAGCCCTAGTGGCTGCTGATGAGCTCTCTAAAGAAGGTCAGTTGATTGTGTAAACACTGAAGTTATGGGAAGAAGTAGAATGTCAGCTATGTGATACACCTGGACTGATCTTTTCATTTTAACCTCTGAACATCCCTTATTCTGAGTTTGCTTCTTACACTAAGCTGTTATTACTATTCTCCAGATATCTCTATCCGTATCATTGACTTGTTTACCATTAAACCTCTGGACACTGCCACAATCATTTCCAATGCAAAAGCCACATCTGGCCGAATTATCACCGTGGAGGAACATTACCCAGAAGGTGTGTTAGATACATTGGGTATGGTTTTATAAGTTTGTTTTGGTAGAATTTTTTTGGTAGAAAGTGTTTTCGTTTTGCTTGACTGGAGATACACCATGTTCTCTACGTAGCCAACACTAGTTCAATATACCTTTGTTATACTCTCTACAATTGCATCCATGTAGGGGCCTTTCAGCCATACAGAGTGGTTTCTTGAACATGCAACATTGTCTGTATATACTTTATGAGTCCCTATCATAGAGCCCAGTCAACTAGGGTGGGTCAGTAGTAACACTAAGGTGGCTAATTGAGCAAACAGGAAAACATTCACAAACACTTCTACAGCTTCTTTTGAGTATTGAATTAATAGTTCACTCCCCTGTCCCTTAAAAATACTAGCTCCTGGCAGAGAGTGGTGGCATATGCCTTTAATCCTAGCCGTTGGGAGGCAGAGGCAGTTGGATCTCTGAGTTTGAGGCCACTCTGGTCTACAGAGCAAGTTTCAGGACAGCCAGGGCTACACAGAGAAACCCTGTCTTGATAAACAAACAAAAACCTAGCTCCTTGAACCAGGCTTGCTGCACACACCTTTAATATGGCACTGAGTCAAACACAAAGGCAGGTAGATCTCTGAGCTTGAGGCAATTTGGGCCTACATAGCATGTTCCAGATGACCTAGAGTGTCTTAGTTAGGGTTTCTATTACTGCAACGAAACACCACGACCAAAACCAAGTTGGAGAGGAAAGGGTTTATTCAGCTTACACTTCCACATTGCTGTTCATCACCAAAGGAGGTCAAGACAGGAACTCAAACAGGGCAGGATCCTGGAGGCAGGAGCTGATTGATGTAGAGGCCATGGAGGGGAGCTGCTTACTGGCTTGCTCTTCATGGCTTGCTCAGCCTGCTTTCTTATAGAACCCAAGACCACCAGCCCAGCGATGGCACCACCCACCATGGCCTGTGCCCTCCCCCATTGGTCACTAATTGAGAAAATGCCTTACAGCTGAATCTCATGGAGGCATTTCCTCAACTGAGGCTCCTTCCTCTCTGATGATTCTAGCTTGTGTCACGTTGACACCCAAAACCAGCCAGTCCAACTGACCCCTTGTCAACTTGATGCCCAAATTCACCACTATTAAGCAACAACCCTTCCTTTCTTATTCATCCCTAAGATTTCACATTAAAAACATAAATAACTTTAAAGGTCCCACAGATTTTACAGATTTACACACATTAAAATTGCAGTCCCTTTAAAATATCCTATCTTTTAAAATTCAAAATCTCTCAACTGCGGGTTCCAGTAAAACACTTTCTTACTTCAAGAGGGAAAAATCAGGTACAGTCGCAATCAAATCAATGCAAAATCAAATTCCAACCATCCAATGTCTGGAGTACACGTATCACAATCTTCTGGACTCCTCCAAACGTCTTGGGTCACTTCTCCAGCTCTGCCCTCTGTAGCACACAGCTTGTCTTCTAAGGTTCCAGCTGGCTCCACTCTACTCCTGCTGCTGTTCTTGGTGGTCATCCCCCCACGGTACTGGCATCTCTAAAATGCTGGGGTCTTTGCTGCAACTGGGCTTCACTTTTCAACAATAGCCTCTCGTAGGTTCTCTTCATGCTGCCAAGCCTCAGCCTCATGCATATTCTGGGCCTTCAACTGCCACTGAGGATACACTTTCACCAATGGCCTCTCCTGGCCTCTCACAGTGCCAAGCCTCAGCTGTTCTCCATAACTCACCCCTTCCTGCTTTCAAAACCAGTACCACCTGGGTGACTCTTACACATTACCAAGTCTGGCTGCCAGGACAAGGTACAACCTTGGCCTCTTCTGGAACTCAGGTTCTCTGTGTTCTCAGGAAACACTTCCCAGAAGATTTTGTAGCTAGAGTTTTCCTGCCTTGCCCACAGTCA